CTGGTATACACTCACTATGGAGAAAAAACTTCAATCTAAAAAGAATAGTGTTTTTTCTTAAAGATTTTTCTCGTTTCGATAAAATCATTTCACTTGGATGTCAATTCTTATTCTATTCTGATTTATTATATTGTACTTTTTGTCTCATTATGAAACAAAAATTTATCAATAAATTAAATATATTTTTGTTGCTATTGGAACTCTCTATCTAAAACATATAATTGATTGTAATTAAAATGAATTCAAACGAAATCAGTACAGTACGTGCTGTCAAGTGTGTCCTGAGTTCACCAAGATTAGGAAAGAGAGTCGATTCTTGTTATGAGGATTAGTAAGCAAAAAACAAAGAAAATCATTCAGTTTCACTGAGGAAAAATGAAAATTTTCCAAAATTGAAGGCCCCCCCCCCCCATCCTTTCTCCGGTGGGGGAATATCCCTGTAGTCTTTATACAAAAAATATGAAACATTGCTTGTATACCTAAGCTGTGAACTTTTAGAAACATAACCTGAAAATGTGAGATTATAATAGTGTTGCACTATTGAACAATTACAAAAGATCGAAATCTAGCAAATATAGTTTCATTCTGAAATAAATTTCTTCTATCTTCACATATGATGGAATGTATTCAAAATAAAAACGGCTGTATTTAGTAGTATTTTTTAGCTATATCTATTGCAACATATATTGATTCAAAAACTAAATCTGCATATATTTAAATACATATATGTCACGATAATGATTTAGTTTTTTTTATATCAACCATCTACATTACGATTCATACTCTTTTATTAATTTAATAAATACTTTGCCATCTTCTGTCCGATCAATACAAGTTTAGTAATTGTGAGCATAAACAAATAACTTATGTTCGTATTTCATTCGACTAGAAGATCATTGAATAATCAAATATTAATATTGAAAAAAAAACAGAAGGATATTAATGTGATATTTACTCATATCGATCATACGTGCTATTCGATACATCACATCTTAACATCCAATAATTTATGACTGAAAGAAGATATCTATTTACTTAAACGTTCTTCTTTTCTATCAATCGAGAGATGAGATATGAATTTCTCGTTCAAGCATTTTGTTTTTCTTTGTTAGTAATATGTAAATATCGGACTGATCCTATCTTGATAATTTCATTTTAATTTTTGAAAGATTTGCCGATCGAAGACAACAAAAAGTGTTTTATTCTAAAATCAGATTTGTGTGTTAGTATAATACAAAAGAATTTAAAAAAAGATCAGAAATTTTTTTTTTTTCTGTGAAAGTTATCTGTTTTATTTGTCAGTCGATCTATTATTCCATTCATATATGTTAAATTCTAACAGAATAAACATAAATCTCTAGAGATTATTATTTTTTAAATGCCATACTTTATCTATTCGGAATTTTTCTTGTTATAAATCATGTAGTAGTATGTCAAGGTGAACATTTTTCATCATGAAAGATATAAATCAGTATTATTTAATACTGAATAGAGAAACATATATTTAAAAGTCATCATTTTATGACAAAAATAAAATATAAATTTTTTTCAGTAAAATTCTCTAAAGAATGTATTCGTATGATAAAAAAAAAATAACAATCGTTAGAGAATTTGAATAATACTCTTCGTTTCTTTCATGTAATGTTATTTATGATTACATACAGGCTCGTTAAATCGATGACACTTGCTTATCTATTCTTTTCTTCCTCTCATGTTTCTGGCAAGAAAAAGAACTTATATAATATATAACGTTCTTTTTTACATCAGAATTTATTATTCTTCGATCCGATATAATGTTGTTTTACTATCAAATAAAATAACAATAACAAGTAGGTCAATTTCGAATGACTTTTATATTAAAAAGAAATTCTATCTAATTGTAAATCCTGTCGATCACAATATAATCTAATTTTTCTTTCTTATTTTTTCTTTTTCTCGATATATTTTGATTGCCATCATGACAATCTCCTCGAACTTATATTTAACTATTAAAACAATACAAACAATCTTCATTTCGTCAAGAATCATAAGTTTATGTAGATATGATTTAGTATATTTAGAGAAAAAAAAGAATAGCATTGCAATAGAAAGTCATTGTTCATTACTTAATCGAAGAATCAGTTTCACTGTTATTTGACAAAAACAAATATCAAGTGAGATGATAATGATTACGTCACAATAGAAATGTCTATGCGTGCAGTAAGAGAAAACGAAGCGATTAGTAATGGTGCAGGCTGTACATACTATGTATATCTATTTACTTTTGACTTATGACAAACGTCCATGCATCAACTTTTACATATTATCCAGTCTAATACGAAAGAATAGAAGAAAAAAAAAAGAAAAGAAGCGTAAGAGATACAAAAACAATATTGCTTCGTAATTCTCTACTGACTTTCAAACAAATATCTATGACGTATTATTATAATAAGAGAACTTTAAGCACAACTTTTCATGTTATTTTTAAGTGATTGAGTGAGAAGAAACAGAAAATGATCAAAAGAAAAAGTACAATAGGTCTATTCATACATATATATGTATATATGAAATTATATCATTAGTTTCTTGAGGGAGATACTAACAGTATGACGTAAAACTGACCTATAACAGTACTAATTCCATAGAATTGTTTGTTCTGTTTGGTATTGATACGAAAAAAGTCACATTGGTAAGTTCCTTTAGTATTTATTGGGGAAAACCATATTGTTCACACATACAAAAATTATCATCGATTCGCATAAATTCTTTTTTTGTTTTTTTCGGTATTAAACTTTATAAGTGCCTTAACGAAATAGAGATTATCAAAATCAATTTTCTTTATTTCGATATGTTTTTTTTAAATTTGTTATTATATTAGCATAGATTATTACTTATTCATTCTAACTCTTTCTTTTATTCTAGTTAGCCAAATACACTAGTGTTCTTTTACTTGTGAAATTTCGTTTTTCAATATTTCAATGTAATGTTTGCTCGTCGCAATTTACGTCGTAATCTTGTGATCACTTTTTTCTTACCTATAGTTTTATTAACATTATTTATCATACATAAAAATAGTGATAATATATTTTCCGAACACTCATCACATCAATATCATGAACATACGTCTCATATCTCACCAGATATCAATCAAGTATATCATGTTCGATCAAAACGTTCAACACGTCAAAGTAGGCTATCGACTATTCAAAGTAATGATCAAACGCAAAATCAAAACTCGATGATTGTAAATCCTCATACAATATCACTTGTAAATGTTTTAAATAATCATAGACAATTACAAGATTTTAAACCTATTCAACAAATTTCATATTCTGTTATTAATACAAAAAATCTTGAACGTTTTGTTCATCTTGATTTAAAAGGTGGTGCACCAAAAGTTGATTATTATGAAAAATTATTTCCATTTTTAAAACAACTTGGTGCTACTGGTTTACTTATTGAATATGAAGATATGTTTCCATTTACTAATCGTTTGGCTGTAATAAAACATGGTCTTGCTTATTCACATAATGATATTCAAAAAATCTTACAATTAGCAGAAATTAATGGTTTAAAAGTTATGCCATTACTTCAAGTTTATGGTCATCTTGAATATGTACTTAAGTTAAAAGAATTTATGAATCTACGTGAAGATGTACGATATCCACAAGTTATTACACCATGTCTTGAAGAAAGTTATAGATTAATATTTGGTATGTTAAATGAATCTTTATTTAAATATAAAAATTCTTTACAATAATTAATAAGAAATGTACTATTAGATTGTTCGTCTTAATTGCATAGTTATATTTATCAATAGATGAATGTAATGTTTTAATCGATTTAAAATTAAATCACATTCCAAACTAAGAATTATAACAATCTAGAATATTTCGTGAAACGATTCGAATCGGGCAAAGGCCGTCGGTAAACCGTTTGGTATAATGTGTCCTATACTCAATAATTAACCAGTGGTAGTTTGATACTGAAACAGTTGATTATTCTCTAACTGTCATTCTATCGTGATTAGTGTCCTGAAGTCGAGCCGCGCACCCGGCATCTAAGCCAGCAGTATGTGAGACCTTGATATTTCAAAATATTTTTACTTTATTAAACTGCTAATTTATACAAAAACGTATGAGTGAAAGCTGAACAATTTATTATACTTGAGAATAAGCAACAGAAATGGAAAGCGATAGTGTTTTAATAAAAAAAAAATCGTTTTTAATGAAAACTCATCTACAAGTGATGATGAAATATATGACGAAGTAACTGAATACATGGAGAGAAGAATAAATCATCAAAAACAAAATGTGAACATGTATTATCGTGATGAAAAATAACACTCATGTATATACTCACAGATATGACGTTTGGCACCTTGATCAGATTTTAGAAGCAGAAAGACATATGAAGTGAACCCTAATTCACTTACTTTTTTTGTGAAATTTGAGATGATCTCTTGTTTTTGTTGTTGTTGATGTTTATGAAAAAAACTAAACCATATGCTTTTTCATATAAAATAAACTTTGAAAACTGTACTGAAATTATCTGTCGAATGTTGATTAGTTCCGGTGGAAATTCAGTTGCAAAAAGTCGTGCTCGTGCAAGACACTAATCGCGATATACTGATCCTAGTTCTCTGATTAACAATCTACTGTCGGTATAAGATCAATTCTTATGAGTACTATGATATACTGGCGATAGTGCGATATAAGTTCCTATTCGTTCTTTGATAGTTTCAATTATACTGAAATGTTTCTTGTATATAATCAAGATATTTTTAAAATTATGAATACGGATAATATCATATTCAAGACGTTGAATGATAAGCTTCAGTATTTCAAAATTGTTTAGTTCTATAAAACTCAGCTTTGAAAAATTTTTACAGAAATCTCCATCGAGTAGTAAACATGTAGTCAAAACAAAAAGGCAACCTTCATGACTCATTAAATCCCAGAAACTTTACTCTTCTGATTAAAGTTTGAAATGTCTTTTTTCTTCTAGAAATGATCGATCAAATGTTATCTGCTCATTCGTCTATTTCATATTTTCATATGGGTTGCGATGAAGTCTATTATCGTCTTGTTCATCCTCAATGTGCTAATCTAAATTTTCGTGATGATGCTGATCTTTTCATCAGGTATAATTTTACTTTTTTTGTTTTACTAAAAGCTCACAATACGACATGATTTTTATTTTATCCAAATATTTTTTTTATCAGCATAACTAAGGGATGTACCGGTCTTTAGCTACTGGGAATCAATTCAGCTCTATCTTGGTTTATCCTTCACATGAAACTTTGTATGCATTGTTTTCTCTCACGAGCCATAATTGAATCTCTTTTTATGACCATCAAAACACATTAATTGGCAGACTGGGATAGCCTGTGCTGCTCAGTATCTACTTGGGTTCACTACATGCCTAAGTATAATATACATAAAAGATATTCATGTACATATCTATTAATCACTATATAATATTTCCAACGCTGCACTTAATATTGAACGTTTTCCTACGAATATCAATATCGACATAAAACAAAACTGCATATTCATCTGAAAAATGTTAACAAACGTCATCAAGTATAATAGAAACAAATGGAAAGACTTTTTATTTTCGAAATCAATCCTCTTTATTCAATTAGATACTAATGAAAAAAAACTGAAATGATTAAATGTAATAAGAATAAGAATAGTTGAAGAATAATAAGTATATGAGTTTGATAGCGTTGTCCTCTACGATGAGACTTAAAGAGACGTTGCTCAAACAAATTTTTTTTCTAATATTATCAGTTCATTTATCGTACAAGTAAGAAAATGATTATTTCATTTGTTGGTCCTACTATCGCTTTAACAGAGCAAGGAATGTGTTCTCATCTGTTTAATATTGGCATCTAATTCCCAAAAAACATATTTAAAGATTGAATTCAATCTGTAAAAACGAAAAGAATGTGTGTTGCTACACACGCATTAAACATCCAATTCGTTATGAAAACTTTTTTGACTTGATGATATCACAAGTTAATAAATATTTCTCTTCATAATTGAAAAAGTTTGATTTTTATTTGATTTTTTAATTTATCTCTTCTAATATTTAGACATGTAACTCGTGTTGCTAAGTATATTAAATCAAAACGTCCGGCTATTAAATTATTTATATGGCATGATATGCTCTCACAATTGGTTAATTCCGGTTATAATAACGTGAGTGATTCATATATTTAGGACATACGAAAAGTAGTGGCAATAGGACTATAATATCTTTAAAAAATTAATAAAATAATAGGTTGTTGGGTTACACATCTACTGAGTCATGCTTCATCTTCAATATGTTCTCGCATTTCGTACAACCATGCATAGTGTCTTTCAACTTTTCTTAGAAGCGAATCCTGACCACCAATAATAAAATATAGTGTAGTACAGACTTGAATGTAAAATAGAAGATTTTCTTATAGCTTTGATCGAAATTTTAACATTGTCACACCAATGGGAAAACGATGAAATACGATATCTTTAAAGAGCACTGTTTGGATTCTCTGTATATATATATATAGGAAATATCTTTGAGCTTTCTATAAGCTGTTATAGTACTAGCGGTACTGGTATTGGTATGCCCTAAGTATGTTCAATAAAAATCAATATGTATATTTTGTTTCGTAGATTACGGAATTAATGGAACTTATTGTACCTATGGTATGGACTTATGTTGATGATGTTAAACTTTGGTTCGATGATGGATTTTGGATGAGGTAAAAAGTATTACGTAGTTGATTAAAAATAATACGAAATAATTATTGAAAACTTGTTTTAAATTTCTTTGTACAGATTTTCAATGTTTCGTGAAGTATGGGTAGCTAGTTCATTTAAAGGTTCATCTGGTGAAACAACAACAATGAGTTATATTGCTCATCATCAACGTAATCAACAAACATGGCTTGAAACAATGTATATTGCATCAAATCGACATAAAGTTAATTTTGTTGGTATTGCCATTACTGGTTGGTCTCGATATGATCATATGCTTTCATTATGCGAACTTCTACCATCATCAATACCATCACTTGCATATGTATTACAAACAATTGTTTATGGTTATATAGATTATGAGAAAAATCTAACCATTTCAACATCATTATTAGGATGTGATCGAATGCCATTATGGGAAAAAGCGATGCAGATTACTTTCATATCGTGTTCATTTCCAGGTAAAACATCATTATTTATAGAAAAGTTTAATCTATAGCAAAGAGACTATATTCGTTCGTTGCAAATCGTCATAGAGCTTTTATTGATTTTTTTTGTATGCTATTTAGGTCATGAAATGTATGAAATGATGTATCAATATGATACAATACTTCGTCAATATGAAGAAGCAATGTCATTTGTACGTTTATTTATAACAGATATTCATCTTCGTCAAAATTATATTCATTATAAACGTAGTCAAGAATGTTTACAACGATTAGTTTATTTAGAAGATCAAATGATTTATTTTATTAGTGCATTTCAACATGTTTGTTTAAATTTTTTCACACCCGATATCGGTTCAGAATGGTTACAAACCTATTTTATGAGAAAATTTAAAGAAGTTCAATATCGTATAAATTTTATTGAACGTAGATTGACAACACAAACTTCATGGCCACAACGTCCATTGCCCAATAATACTGCATTCATTGTTGTTAAACGACGAAATTTCACAACTATTAATTTATCATAAATATTTCAATTGTTTTTAATAACAAAAAAAGTAATGCATTATATTCTAGTCACTTTCTGTGAAATAGAATTCTTGTTGTATATAAACTATAAATTATTATCATTCTTTAGTTTAGCTAAGAATTTATAGAAGTATAATAAATAAATTATTCAAAAATCAATCATAACTTTGCTATGAAAATATTAATTTTATTAAGTAATTAGTCACTAAATATAGNAGATATTTAAATTTTAAATTTAGGTATAAAAATGAATCAGGAAAGATTTTCTCCACTATTATAAGGACAAAACATAATGTTGTTCGAGGCGATCATGGGGTTTGTAGGGACTCTCTTTCATATGGCCCGAACAACATCATGTTTTGTCCTTATAATAGCGGAGAAAATCTTTCCTGATTCATTTTTATACCTAAATTTAAAATTTAAATATCTCCCTCTAGACAAGCCAACAGCCGCTAATATTTTAACCTTGTTAGTTTGGCGATGAGAGCTTCCATTTGACCCGAATATGTGCCATCGTTTTAAGTTACAGTACAAACACCTCCATTGTTAGTGATCATCCTACAGTATACATTTCCAATATGACTTTTAAATATAGATGAAATCGAACTAACAATTATATTACAATATAGAATGTAAGCTCAATAAAAAACTTCGAGTTTGAAATTCCGTTCATGTTTAAGTGTACGTCTCAAAAAGTAGGCAAACACAATGAGATTATTATATTTGTAGAACTATTATCCATTTCAAAACCGAAGAGCAGTGGGTATTTTTCTAATAACTTTCGATAGAAAGAAGATATGGAATGGCAGTTTTCACTGTTGGAAAGAGGAAATGAAGACCCATCGAATCATATTTTACACACTTTTTCAGCAAGTTTTATTTAGTGTATTTAATCGAGGTTCTGGTAAGCCAATGTACCGCGCTCAGTCACCACAGGTAATTTTCGATTTTTAGGAGTGCATCAGAACCGCCCATTGAAGATCTGCAAAACTGTGCAAGATCCAGATTTTTAATTTGTAACGTTGACGAGTTAAAGGCATTTTTCTCTGGGCTTCTACCTAATTTTTCGAGAAAAATCCAATTTTTTGCTACATTTTCATAAAAATTTACTGTACCAATCGAGCTCAAACGTACACTTGTTTTTTGAAAAAATTCAATAAAAACACGCAAAACACTTGGCAGTAAAATCTGTAATATATAATTCAATGCGCCTGCATCTTCTTTTTTCAATTATGAAAAGCGCAGGTCTCTAGCATCCATTGAAAGTGTTCTTAGTACCGTTGAAAATCAATTTTATCATCATTGGCTTATAAGGTAATCAATCAGTCCATCAATTATTTTAATAGAAATCAGAGCTTCAGTCGAGAAAAGGCATAAACTGTACGTATGTGATTTAGAATTCATGTCGTATTGAATCTTTTCGTTAAATAGAACTAATATAATTTGCATGGAGAACTGACTATAAATAATCTTTTATTGCTAGATTTAATCAATTTGCAAGGACATAAAAGATGTATTTTTTTTAGTAAACTTTGTGTGAAAAAAATTATATTTCCTTTGTAAATATTTCAATTATTTTCATTAAACTTAAAAAAAAGCAAGAACAGGCATTTACTATTTTCAGAGTCTCGTTTCTTTGGCTTATTACTTGTCCAGAATCTGAATAGAAAAGTGATATTGATAATAAACAATGGAAGCTCTGTATCTCTCTGTTTGCATCTTGCTATTACAATTAAATCTTTAAATCAGTATTTAATATATAAGTGTGTCACGCGAGAGCAATGCATATCATAAATCAATACAATTAATCATTCAATCAAAGATTTTCGATGAAATGTGTCTTTGTTCTAAGAGTTTTTACAATTGTCATGATATATGAAGTCCTATGTTTAATTATCTATAGAGAGTTACCATACCATAACTTTAGCAATTACGCTGATTAATATTAAACATAATATATGAAGGTTGTGTAGTATAAAAAATATATTTTATAACTAGTTTTGCATAAATATTTCATTTTGAAAATATTGTAGATAAAAGAAAATGTGCAAAATTCTTCCGTAGTCAATACAGACATTTAAATAGTAAATGCGAGATAATATACTGTGCGAAACATGATGGTGCTAGAAAATATCTATGATGGATTCACACATCATATACTTACCACTGTGAATGATCACTCTCTGTATCATTCTCTTATTTCTGTTCTTCTCTCTTTCATTCGCACACACACACATATGCATAGTTCTGTTCGCGTAGTGTTCATTAGCCATTTTTGGCTAGTTCTTTCTTGTTTTTTTTCTATTAGTATATGAAACAAATCTTAAACAATTCAAAACTCTCATAGTACCGGTATCGGATCCATATAAGGTGAGGCACTAGGTTGTGGAGGTTCACGAATCATGCCATCATCGGACACACTACCGAGATGGCTATAACTACAATAGTTTTTTTGTGACCTCAATTTATACATAATCCATCCAATGCATATTGGCAAAGCAAAACACAAGACCACTACAACTTCGATAATAACACTTTTAGAAGAACCCTTTCCAGGCTCCCTTGTTGATGTTGGCTCTTTTGTTGTCTCTATTATTGTTGTCCTTTGTTTTGCTGTCTTCGTTATTATTCTCGAAGTCAAAGATATATCTAAGTCTAGAAAATAAAAAATAAAAAGATATCAAATAAATCAAAAGGTAAGTTTTTGTAAGCGAACATAATTTGGCATGATGCGTAACATAATAAGTTTGTTCATTCTAATTTTATTCAAAGATGTCTAACAAATCATTAAAAAAATTTTGCTATGAAAATCTAAAGGAAAGAAAATGTATATTAAAACTCAATTTACAGCTGAAGATAACAGGAACTCATTTCACACAAATGAAATAAAAAGTCTTTAAAACTTGATAGTTCAGTCAAAATCTACTAATTATTTAATATTGTATAAGTTATATCATCAGCTGGGCTGCAAGATTTAAGTCTCAAAAGCAAAAGTTCCTGATATATGCTCGTATCTAATCTTTTTTTTTCTTTACACGTTATATTTTTTAATATAATTTTATTTTAAATTAATAAATATCGAATCCATTGTACTGTGTACAGGTTCTGATTTCGATAGAGTAGTTCATCAATATTTCCATTCTGCTGTAATCCATTGGACTAATTTTCTCTTTGCATCTCAAGATATTTCAGAATTTTTTATTTGTTGATAAGAAAAATATTACGATAGATAATCTTGAATAGGGATATACCGAGACCGAGACTGAACCAAGAATCTCGGTCCGAGTCGGCTCGGTCTCGGTCTCGGTCAATCTCAGCTAAAAAGCTTAAAGAAATATAATTTCGCCCGAGACAGAGTAGCACACTTATCTACGATAAAGAAATGATCGAGATTAAGCATAATCGAAACCGGCACTGCTCAATACCAAGATTGAGGCTAGCCAAGACCGAGACCGAGCTCTCGATCTCGGTACATCCCTAATCTTGAACAATCATCATTGATTCTGATAAAGAAATATAACAATTTCTGTTTTCCAAAAAAACAAGAATATTTTTCATGAAGAATTTCTGTATGATCAACAACTTTTGAGTTTATACTTTGTCGGGTGATAAAGGACTACTAGAATACAATATCTACCCCCTTCCTTCCTAAAGAGTTTTATACTCTTGTCCAGTTTTGATCAAGATATTGATTTTTTTAGTGAATCCTCTCATGTATCATTTCGATTTTTTAATAAAACTAGTATTTTCAAAATTACTACTTGAAATTTTTCCTTCTATTAGGATGTCGATTATACTAACTTCGATAGAAACTTTCATAATTTTCGGATACAGCTTCTCTAAGATCAATTAAAAAGGAGTAAACTTCTTATTGCGTTCAATAACAGTTACTGAGGCATTATCTGTTAATCAGTTATTTTTATATAGAAAACCTTTGAAATTTCTTCTATCAATGGTAAAAAAAATGTTCGTATTGATTGAATCAAAATAGAAATATTGAACTTTTTTCATTGTTAAGATATTTATAGGTCATCCTATATATGTAATTGTATCTATTTAACAACTTAGATTCAAAACAATTGTTCACGATGAAGAAATAGCTCGCGTAATGTTTGAGATTCTAGAAAAAGTTGAAACTATATTTCAGTGCATCGTCTCTACTGATTGCCAACTCATCGATAATCGTTCGAATCTATTTTTTCAAAAGACAACCTCTACAAGAAACTATAAAAAACTTTCGCAATGTTCTATCAATGATTCTACGAGAATATTTTGAGATACTATCCAAAAACCAAGACTAAGTTATTTCTAAAAAGTTCTACACTGTGCTAATCATCACTACTAATTCAAGAATGTTCTCATTCATCGAGGAATAATCATTTATCATTCTAGTTCAATTTTGATTCGCTTCAATACTGGTTACATAAATACCTTGGATTTCATAGATCTATACGAACTCACTTTCGACATTACAGAGATTTGTCCAACAACAATTGATACGACCTTTGAAAGTGGCACCACCATAAGAAACAACACCCAATGATTGATTTTCACAATGCGCAATAATTGTTCGTATGGTGAAGGCTGGATAATTGGTATTAGTAAATGGATCATGCCCACTTAAACCAATTATAGTCTTAAAATATATAGTAGTATTTTTGATAGTAAAATTTTAACATTGTTTTTGTTTTTATCAAATGCTTACAGCACAGGCTTCAAAAGAATTCGACGAACCAGATTCATAAACATATGGACTTGATATATTCAATGTGCTACATCCCATCAAACCAGTTATACGTGAGTCGCACATGTAACATTTAATAGCCAACTTGGGAACTACAGGTTCTTGATTGCATTCGGGATAATTGCAACAAAAAGACACTCCTACCATATTGTAGTCACCTGTAACTACAGCATAGCTGCCAGGCATACACTTCTGCTTATATAATTGGTAAGCAATATCTTCTGATGTTTTCCATGTTCCCTACAATAACATATC